AACAAACGGTTAATTTTTTATCCATTTCAGCATGTGGAAACATGAGAGATGAGTAAAACACTTTTTAGTTTCTACCTCTTTTTTTCATGGAGGCTAATAAACAGATTTAAGGAGTATGAAGTTGCAACAAATAATAGATAGCTTGTAACAAATAAAAAAACAAATTAGACGAAAATATCACAACTAAACAAGAAGTTGAGAACACAGACAACAGTAACATGCACAAAAAATAACCTTAAAAAGAAGTAAAAAAAAATTCTCATATACATCACAAAAAAAAATATTTTTATAAAAAATATATATAACATTAAAACCACTCCAACAAGCTCACCAAAAATATATCACATTAAAAAGAAAGAAAATATTTTTTTTCTCATATTCATCACAAAAAAATATATTTTTTGTAAAATAAATAAATAACATAAAAAAAGATCCAAAAAGCTCAACAACAATATATAAAATTTTTAAAAAACAAGAATATTCATATTCATCACAAATTTTCTCATATTCATCACAAATAATATACTTTTATAAAAGCAACACGTAATTTTATTAAAAAATAATTTTTTTAAGAACCCTAAAATCGAGCCAAAGAACACATAAAGTTTAGAGTCAAAATCAACCCCAAATCTTTCATTTTTTGAACAAATTGACATGGGACATGATAGATACTTTAATTAAGATTCAAATGCCCCAAATTTCATGAAGATTCATTCACTATTGAGATCTTTATTCAAAAAATTACGGATTTTCACTTCACGAAAATTCCAGGAAAAAAACATTGCAAAAAAAAATTGATATAAAAACATTTAATCAATAGTAAATCAAAATAACTAGTTTATTTGATACATGAGGCCTTTATGATCAAACTTCAGTGACCAATTTGATAAAAATCGACTAATTGATCCATCAGAAATCAATTTGTTTGAATAAAAAACAGTTCTTCTAGCAGCAGTATTTCAGGCCCAAAAATACCTCAAATCTTCATCGTTTTGGAAAAATTGAAATATATGAACATTGAATCCTTAACAATTAATCAAAGCCCTCCATTTTTATGAAACTCTATGAGGTATTGAAGATGCATTTGATAGAATGGCGGAAATTTCTAATTTTCAAAAATCCCATTTTCAATCTGCCAAAAACTCTTTGTTTTTGGAATTTTGATTCAATAATCAACGATTTATAGAAACTTTTTGGTGTATAACATCAATAGTTGACCGAAAAAAACAAAAAATATGCAAAAAAAAGCTACAAAATCTTGTTCTATGAAAAATAACGGGCCTGTATCAAATAACAACCGTTATTTGATGCGTTGAAAACGTCATTATATCGGGCGTTAAAACGACAAACCCAACCGACTAGGAAAAACCAGCCGCTTTAGACTAAAAACTGCTGGTTCGACCTCGAACCGGCCGGTTTGTGCCGATTTTTTTTAAAGAGTGTCATCTTATGAGGTGTGCCGTAAAACCGGCCCTAACCAAACTTGCCACCCCACTGGTAGCGATCTAACCGGCTAGTTTTGCGAACACTGATCAACCAATGCCCGTCACCATTTGAACCAGTCAAAATCAGATCAGCCAATGCCCGATTCTGATTTGACACGCCTGTTCCGAGTTGAAGTGGCCGACTTTTCTAACAATGCTTACAAGTCTTGGCCGAAAATTGAGAAGCCAAACAGTCAAATAACAGTCACTATAGAATCACAGTCCCCAAGTCCCGCACCATTTTGAATGTGGTTTAGGACTGATGCTAGGTCAGGAAATTCAAAACAAATCTTTAATACATCAGATGAGATGTTAGATTAAAGAGGACACAATATATCAAAACAAATAATCCATATTTCCAAATTTATTTGTCCATATCCTTGCAACACATGGAAGACCAGAGAGGGTCTGTCAGGCTCATGGGGCGTCTCGTATTTTAGGTCATGATGGGACCGTGGTTCATGGTATATAGTCAGGCCATAGGTCATTATGCGACCATGGTTCATGGTATCTAGTCAGGACATTGTGTAGGACTGACAAATGTTCAGCTAAAGGTGTAAGAGAAATTTCTTTTTGATTATGACTGGTTTGGGTTGGACACAAAGTTTGAATTTTCTTTTTTTTTTGTTTTTTGTTTTTTGAAGTTTGGAGAAAACTTCATTTTACTGTTTTACCCTAATGTAATTAACAATACATTTACAACCACCCAATTTAAATCTAAATGTGACTTCTTCATATGGAAAGGAAATAGTCTATTTGTATACTTTTTTCAAGAGTAATTGTCATTTCACCGTCTATAACTTCGTTCCAACCATGCTAAAAAGTAAATTACCTCTCGAGATAATCCTTGCAAAGCATATTAAGACTTTGGCAATGGCAATGGCATGGATTTGGGATAGCCCAGCCTTAGCCCTAGCCTGACCTTTGTCCTTATAAAGCTAAGCAAAAAACTAATGAAAAGAAATAAAAGAAAAAATAAAGAAAAAAGAGGGTCATGCTTGGCCAGTTGAACGGGCCAGAACTGGCCCTAGCCCGGCCTAATGTCACAATTTGTGGCCCAAACCCTATTTTTTTATGTTGGGCCGACTGTGCCAGGTCGAAGCACTCTGCCCATTGCCATCCCCACTAGAAATGAAAAAACAATAGAAATATAAAAAAATAAAGAGAAAGAAAAATAAAATTCACAAAACAAAAGCATGCCCAATCACCCAAATTTTAGCTTGGAATCAGATAGAAAAAAAACCATTCCATATGATGTTTGGCGCAACATGGGAACATCCACCAATCCTTTTAGAGAACACATGGTTAGATACCTTTCTAGATTAGGATACAACAGTAGATTATGTATACATATAGAATCCAATGTTTTAAAACTCAGATCGGTTGAACAGATCATTCACCTACAGATCCACATCAAATCGCCAATAGACAATTTGGATCTGATATAGACCGGTCCGAATCAACAATCAAGAAAATATTAAAAATTAAGCAAAATAAAATAGGAATTATTGGCTGAAGATTTAGAGGGGCACTAAAAAATATAAATTAGTCTTATAAAATAAAAAATATTATAAAGAGGGGATTTTAGGCAGGATTAAGTATGACCCTTACTATCTCCAAACAAATTTAATGTATATTGATTCTTATCCAAAACGATAATCCAGATAGAAAATCGGATCGTTTTAAAATATTGCATCTTTGACATGCGGATCAGAAATGGATTGTACAAATATGGGAAGAACATTATCCAAGGCTGAAACCCGTGGGTATCCTCACGAGAAATAGACAATATTGGGAAGATAACGTATGTGATTAATACTTGATTCCTGACATTTTCAGTGCACGCATGTGGCGAAATTCTCTTTCCTTGTGAGGCGCAAATACAAAAGCGCACACACATACATGGCCACAATGAATGTTGTCGATTCTATTATTCTTATAAGTGACAAGAGTCAAAGTTAAAAAAACAATTTTCGACTTCATAATTAGCTTAAGCTTAAAAATATAACGAATCGGAGTGATTGTGGCTTTCTTGTAATAAAAATAAACAATTTCATTATATACAATCATGTTTGTTAAAAATTAATAAGTAAAGCAGTTAATTAGGTCGATGCAAAACAATTTTGACCAAATTTGGATTACAAGGTTACGGGAATTTAAGCCTACGAAATAACATATCCTTATCCGCACTGTTTTACATTTGATAATAGCTACGGTGGAGCAAATTTCTTAAGGCAAATATAAATCAATGTAGCAAATATAAATCAATGTAGGAAACCGCTACATGAAGACGGTACTCTGCCTTGGGCAAGATAGTAACTCGGACCAGTTAAGACAGAGGTACAACCAAGGTTAAAAAGCGTTAAAAATAAAAACAAAAAATATGAAAAATATATTTAAAATAATATTAAACAAAATAATGAGGTTAAAAAAAAAGTGAAAAATAGATTATGAAAAATCAATTTATGATCAGAGGTCTTTTAGAAATAATCCAAAAAAAGAAAAATGTAAAAATGAATATTCATGGCCAAAATACTTTTCAATCTTCGTCAAAAGGACGCGGTTAGCATGCGACCAACCCACATGTTGTAGAAATGTGGGCTTGGCAATAAATATGTTTTTTAATTATAATTTGATCTTAATTTTTAACGAATATATAATCTTTAACATGGAAAGTATGAATACGAAAAAGAAAAAAAATAAAAAATTGGAAACTATAAATAATTATTATATTAAGAAAGCATTTGGACCGCCAGTTAAAATTGTATTTAGATGGACCATCTATTTGCATCCATCTTTAAGATGGATGCTTTATACATTTGGACCACATATTGTACAACTGCGGTCCAGCCCCGCATGAAACAATTGTTCTTTCTCTTTTTACTATTTTGCAAAAGTTATGGTGTACGGGTTCCTTGGAGATCACGAGATGATTCCATTCTAGACTAATACTTCACATTTATGTCCAACTAGGGCTTTATGGGTGTGGCTTTAATCTATGAAGTGGAAACACTAGTGAGTATTCTGTTCTGTGAAAATATGCATCAATGATGACAGAAAAAGACAATTCAACCAGAAAAATAAAGCCAATATTATAAGGGCATATGGTAATGGAAGGTGTATAGGTTGGGTACTAACAATCTGGAGTACTTTATAAAAGTGAAAGGGAGGATTTCAGAGCATTTTGTCGGTTGCTTTCGAAACCAGATCTGAGTGTGATCCCATTTTTCAAATTACAAATATTCTGACCCCAAAAGCAACATTGAGGAACAACAAAACAAAAAAAAAAAGCCAGTGTTGTCATTTTCGCTTCGGGGCCTTTTTTTTTTTTTCAGTTTGGTGGACAAAATAATGACACAATTCAGTGTTTTGGCTGATTCGATTTGGATGAAGGCTTTGAAATTTTTAAAAACTTGTAATATAAATAAAGAACATTTATATATATATATATATATATATAACATTTAAATAATAAAAATTTAAAATTCAAAAAAGAAAAAAGACAATTATGTGCTTAGGCCGAAGATTATGAATAAGATCAAAGCGGACCGTAGAATATACTTGTATTTAAAAAAGGCAATTTGTGCTTCGGCTGAATAGGCTGAAGCTTCGATCTAAGAGGCCGAATCAAACTGAAGCAAGTTGAGGTTGATGCATCTAAACTTTGCCTTGCTTTAGCCTAGACCGAAAATCCTAAGACTTCGACCTCTTCAGCTGAAGCAAAGTGAATTTAATAACATTATATCAATTAATTTTTTCCCTCACCCCATTATTTTTGTATATACGTAATGCTTTTAAATGTAAATATTAGTAAAGCCTTAAACTCATAACTCATCGAAAAATTGAAATTCAAGTATCAGAAAACCTCTACATCAATCATCTCGGCTTGAACATTATGGTTGTGAAAATAAAATTAGATTTCAAACTCTAAAAATAATATATATTGTATCATATTACCTATTTCGCCCAAAAAATAAAAGCTTATAGATCCAGAAGATCTATACCATTTTTGAGTTTCGAATTTCATTATGGGTTCTAGAAATTGATTTTAAAGCCATAATGGAGATTTCCATTATGTATCCATTCACTTAAATTTATTTCTTTATTTTATTTTATTTTGAATCTAATCAACTCACCTACAGTGGCGGACCTGAACGTTGTGCTCCCATCCTTCACATTCTTGCTTCCAGTTATGATCGTCTTCATTCTTCCATCCCCCAAAAACATTATATTCGTCTTCTTCTTTGGGACCTCCACATTTTCCCTATACACCCCCGCCTTTATCCTAATCACGTATCTCTTACTGCTCTTTTCCGGGGCCGCGGCCACTGCGGCAGCCACCGTCTTGAAATCGCCACTCCCGTCGGCGGCCACAACGACATTGGGTGTCACGGAACTCGACTGCAAGAGTCTCCGATCACCGGCTGACATCCATGCAGGAAAACCGTCCTCACCAGCAAAACTCTCTGGAAGGTTGTTCTCCTCGAGCTTTCGACCGGCAGCTGACCTTTCAGCGGCCATGTCTGTGTCTGTCATGTTTTTTATCATGGCTAACGCATTGCTAATGAGTTTCTCGACGTAAACGCAGCCACCGCTTATGATCTTCCGAACGCCGCCTCCCTTTATGTGCGAAAAACCGTCCAAACAAGTCTCCTGATTCGTCATCGCCCCGCTCAGAAGTGTCTTGAGATCGCTTGCGTGGTCCGATATGGACTTTTTCGAAGGATAGAGCTCCAACTCCTCATCAGTTTTACGGAGTTCGTCGAGCGTCTCGTCGACGAGCTCCAGGCAGTCGTGCAGGGCAGTGTGCTCCGCCTCCAAGACGTCCTTCCGGCCGTAGAGCTTCTTGAGCTTGAAGTACGCATGCTCCCCGGCCGTAATCGAGAGGTTGAGAGCGGCCTCGATGACGTCTTTTTGGCTCGAAGCTTTCTCCGCGGCGGCCGGAAATGCAGAAAGAGAAGAGAAGCATAGCTCAGGGTAGAGGGTGGAGGAGCATGCAGATTTGACAACGGCATGGAAGGCGGGCTCCGGTTGGGCTTTATGGTGCCTTGATTTGTGGGTGGCAACGGTGGAGATTAGAGCAACGATGGCTACTAGCAAGAGGAGAGCAATGAGCGTCTTCCCCTTTGGAACCTTCATTTTATCTCTCCTCTTCTTCTTCTTTTGTTTTTTGGGGTTTTCTCTCTAACCACTTGTGGGGGTGGCTGGGGATTTAAGGGATTGCTCCAAAGCTAAAATAACAAAAATACCCCTCATTGAGGTTGGTAAGAACTCCTGTCTGGTCCTTTCAAGCAGATTCAGTTCGATGCAAAATGACAAAAGTACCCCTGGAGTGGCTGTGACTGGCTTTTTTGCAATTGTGACGGAGATTGCCCTTGCCTTTTTAACAAGGCGGGGGTTTAGTCCATGCTTTTTTGGAATTTGAATGGCAACTCATGGAACAACCTTCTATAGCATCATCATCATCTTCAGAGAAATTATTTATTTATTTATTTATTTTTAATTAATTAAGATCTGATATACCAGTTTTTTATCCTATACATGATCCAAAAAATAGAGCTATTAAAAGTTGAAAGAAAAGCAATGGATTCGGGTGACAGTATAAGTAAGGAAAAGTTTTTAGAAGTTTGAGGCTCTAAATAATCAAATTAAAGTGTACCTAAAAAAATTCATTACAAGTTGTTTCAATACCGAAAAACCCTTAAATCCCATCATCTCAACCTTAAGACAATGGATGTTAAAAATGAGTGGACTTCGAATGTTGAAAATAGTGCATTTTCTAGATCGTCAAATTTCAAGTGTTCGAAGATCTTCTTGATCTACCCTATTTTTTAAGCTTTAAATTTTATAATTAGAGATGAAAATAAAATTTCAGGCCATCATGATGATTTTTGGTTTTGAAATAATGTCTTTCGATACTATTTGAAGGTGTGCCGTATTTTGATTGTTTATGGCCTCAACCTTATACAAACCAAACCCTATAGTAATGAACAGCTAAACAAATATTAATTCTATGTTTCTGCTCAAAATCAATAGTAAATTTCAGAAAAAAAAAAAAAAGTTAAAGGGCAAAGAATGATAGTTTTAAAGCAATTTCTAAAAGTTCTTCTTAGCACAAATTCACCCAAAAAAAGATAATTTAAAATTTTGGAAAATATGCAATACAATAATATTTCAGCTCGTAAACAAATTCAAAACATTTAAAACCTTTTCTTAAAAAATAGTATTCTTGAAATAATCACGTGTTAAACAGAGTCTTGCAAATTATAAATAGGTCGCCATGGACAACTTTAATGGAAAAACAATTAATATTCTTAAAAAAAATTGTATTTCGAATTGGGCTTTGCTAATTGCAAAATAGAGGTATTAACAGGTTAAAGAACAATTAATTCTGGTCACAATATAAGTAATCAACAAATAAATCAATATTAATTGTATGTTTCTGCTCAAAATCAATCGTAAATTTTAAAAAAGAATAGCAAGAACAATTCTAAATCCATTTCTACAAGTTTTAAAATTTGTTAAGAATGATGCAATACAACAATATTTCATTTTCTCGAAGAACCCAATGTTTTTTAAGTTATTTTGAGTATAACCATTTAACTTTTTCTTAAAAATTACTATTCTTGAAACTTTGGCATTTTAAGCAAAGTTTTGCATATTATTAGTAGGACACCATGGACAATTTTTTTTTTTTTTTGGGATTTTATGCTATAAGAGCATTAGATGTCAATTTAGATGAATTGAAAATTATTTTTTTTTTGAATTTTAGGTCTAATCAATGACACTCTTACAATTGCTCGATTTGAAATCTGACAATCAATAGTAATTGTGACCTCTTTGTACCAAATATAAATAACCTCATTATATACTTTCCCATTTTTATTAAAAAAGATTAATATTCTTCAAAAATTCGCAGTTTGAATTTTGCTAATTGCGAATGGGACATCTTGGACTATTAAACAACTAGTACGTAATTTTCTTTTCTACATAGGAACAAAAGTAAAATTAGTCTAAAGATAAATCTACTCAGCTTTCAACCCATTTTCCCATTATTTGTTCCTACTCGCTTTAAACCCCTTCCCCATTATTTCTAATAAATACATCACATGCACAAAAGAATTCTGGGCAATTTAAGGCTTGATCTTTTCTAGGAAAGCCAACAACTCAAGTGGGTCGCTCATTGTTTTTTTGTTTTTTTTGTGGAAGTTCTAGTGCTTCAAAACCCGGATTGATAGGGTAGATGTCGACCCCATATATCCGTGTTGGATCACTAGATTGACGATCTGAATCGGTTCATATCCAATTCAAAAAGTTTAAAAACAAAAATTAAAATAAAAATAAAGATAGGGGTTTATAAGGTGAGGATGTAAGGGGGACCCAATAAAACATTAGATATGCTTTAAAAATAAAAAAAAAACTGAGAAATGGGGAGTTTTCGAGGGAACTGGGATCAGACCGATTCCTTTCTAGAACCAATTCGATCTCTGCTAATTCTAGGTCCAGATTGGAAACCGGGTTTACAAACATTGATTTCCACTAAGATGGCTTTTGGTTTTCGATTTTTGTTTTGGTTCCCATTTTCCATTTTCCCTAATGCATATTAAGAAACTAGTAGTTTCGTTTTGCATCCCGCAAATTGTCCTTGAGTTCTTGGATAGGCCTACTCACAGATCTCATTCTCATAGATAAGCGACTTGTTGTAGAGTTTTAGGCTTTTATTGCTAGAATGTTTAAGGCCCTCCAATTTCCTCTTTTTTTTAGTGTTAATAGTGATTTCGTTGAGAAAATGAGAAGTTACAAAAGGAAGTAACTAAGAAAGCAAAAGGAGGGTGAGAGGGGTGAAGAGAAAAAGAAAGAGAAGGGAGAGAAGCAAGGATGATTAGGAGGAAGCAAGGCTATCAACATCTCTGTTCTTTTGTCTATTTGTTCTTTTGTCTATTGATATGACAGAGTATGACCTCTTTCCCGAAGATGGCTAGTAAAATTTCATCCATGATAGAGGTCTATTGCCAGGGAGTCAGATGAGGATGGGTGCACCATTTGATAACATTAGCGGAGTCACCCTCGATAATTATGCAAGTATAGCCCCCATGTAGCTTTAAAACTCTTTCTTTAATAGCTCTAAGCTCAACCTCATTGATATCACCAACGTTAAGCTAGCCATAGTAGGTAAAGATGACATCCCTTCGAACATCCCTTAGAATGCCGCTATATCCAGCTTTTTGAGTCTCTGATCGCACACTACTATCGAAAATAAGAGGCTATCCACTGTGCTGATTTAACCACGTTCTTCAGTTGAAAGAGAAGGAGATCGGCGAAATTGGTGGAGAAAATTTCCTTGGGGTAGCTCTTTAAACTCAAGAAAGCTTGGGCCTACTGTACAACCAACTTCATTACCCCTCAAGCGATATCTGAGAGGTCACAAGAAATCCCCTCAAAGATCTTGGAATTTCGCTCTTTCCAGAGGGACCAAAGCAACAATCAGAATTCGCCACAAATGAATACCAGTCTTAGTGAAGGGGGGATTAGGATTAAGGAAAAAAAGTGCTGAATATTCTCGAGCATCACCCATTGCCACTTAGAAATACTAGAAACCCCATTGTTATTTAATGGCGTCTTGTTTGTGGAAGCAGACATTTACCAAGATCTTTCCCCTCTTTCTCAATTGATCTCCCGGTGAGAATTATGTCTTGTTCCAAAAGCCAAAGAAATGCTCTAACCCTTCTAGAAAAAAAAATAGTTTATTTCAACATATATATCAACGCTAATGGGATTTGAACCCAAGACCTTTTCAAAAAGTTCACAAGGTGTTCCCAACTAACCCAATTATGCTAAGTAAAAGTAAGAATCAAACTCTATACCTTTTATAAAGAGGCAACTTTATGCCGGGCAACCTACCAGCAAATTTCTTTTGTTATATAAACCTCACCCGTTTAAATATATTCTTCCCTTTTGAACATGGGCGAATTATAACTTGAGATGTTTCCACCCAATGCTTACAAATTTTCTTTTCCTAATCTTTGTTAAGGGTTGACATCGTAGAGAAAGTAATGTATGTAGTAATTCAAAACCCACTTATCCGGATAGAGAATCCTTTTGGGACGAAGCCCTCCAATTTGGCGGTGGATTGGCGGTTCTCTTGGGCTACAAGGCCACCCTGTTTGGGAATTGAGCGGTCTAGACGATAGGATCGCCCAGCTCCCACATATTATATTTTTTCCCTTATTATTTTTTAAATTTATTTTTATATGTCAATTTTCGCTTTGGAAAATCGGCAATCCAGATCGGTGACCTGCTGGTCCAAGCTGATTTCCTTTGTGACAAGTTTGCCCAGCCGGATTTTAAAACAATGCCGTATGTTAAGGTCTCACATACAAAAAGGTTTATCTCCATCATTAACTACTTTGCTACTACTTTGCCTCTCCACCATTAACTACTTTGCTACTACGTGCCACCTCCATCCATTTACACATGCAAGGAAAAGTTCGTACAAGTTTAGGTTCATGATAAAAGAGTAAAGCCACAATTCCAATCTTGCCCCAAAATTGTAATTTCAATCCTGAAAAACTTTAAAATTGATCATTTTGGCCTTTAAATCATTAATCTGAAACAAAAAATAGAAAAACATTTGGAGCCCTAAAAATAAAAGATCTTATACCATTGTATGGATTGTTCTATTTTAAGTCATCCATATTTAAGTGTTCACAAATCTATTAAATTTATAACTTTTTCAAAATTTTGAATTTCATAACCAAGATCAGAAAAAAAAAATTTAAATGATTATAAGGGTTCCTAGTACTAGAAATGCAGGGTAGAATGAAATTTGAAGTTGCAATTTGGCTTTTATAGTAATTCCTAGGCCTAATGGCAAGGGTTGGCAATGAGCCGAGAGGCTCAGCCTGGCCTGGTCCTAAAAAAAGTAGGATCTAGGCCATAAACTGTGGCCCAGGGGTTTTGCTTGGGCCAGTTCGGCCCTGGTCGAGTCTTTTTTTTTCTTATTTTTTCTTTTATGTTTTTTTCATTTATTTTTGGCCCAGCGCAACCCTAAAAGGACCAAGGCTAGACTAGGCCAGCCATATGGCGACAAGGGCTAGACAGGGCCATGGTGGGCTTGGCCCATCGCCACCTTTACTTACAGGAATCACACCTCTGAGCAAATTTGGGTGATGGCAAAAACCAACCTACACATGCATTT